AGCAAAATCTGCCAATCTGGAAAAGAAAAAAAAAAAACGATGTTGCGCCAACTGCAGTATTAAAATACTAGTTTATTAAAAAGCCAATGGGCAACTGACATGTAAGATGAGAAAGGCAGGCATGCCTGATTTATCTGCAGCCTGATGGTGGACACAAGGCAGATTCTCAAACTGGACTGATGTTTCTGTTCCTCACCATGCAGAAAGACCATGGGGGATCGCGACTGGAAGTAGCAGGGCCAGTTTGGAATGCAACCGAAAGTGTCCTCACCAAGGAGCCGCACGAAGGGGCGTGGTTATGCATTTTAAAGCTTCCACTTTTTTTTATCAAAACTGTTGCATGCTATGGAGAACACCCTTGCATAGGAATGAGCATGGGGCAAGGCCCCATAGGATGATGGTACTGCTCAATTCCAATATCAACAGTAGTCCACCTACTTTAAAGGGGAAAGAGCATCTATAAAGACAATGGATCAAATACCAATACAGTGTTGATAAAAACAGGAGTCAGGTAAGTGATAGGGAGGGGGAAGGGGAGCGGAAGAACAGACAGAGAAAGGATTTTGAAAACATCACAAACAGCGCAAATAATTAATATATACTTAATCAATATACAAAAATAAAATATAAAAAATAGTCCAACTCCAAAATTCGTGAAAAAATTATATATATAAATCACAAGTGCAAAAATAAACAATTAGAAAAAATATATTCCAATAAGTCCTTGTTCCAAAGAAATGTACTTCCACCAAAAATTAGTGCTTAAACCAAAATATACCGCACTCACCAGATTCTGGTGAAATAACGCCTTTTAGGTATACATATACCTAAAAGGTGTTTATTTCACCAGAATCTGGTGAGTGCGGTATATTTTAGTTTAAGCACTGATTTTTGATGGAAGTACACTTCTTTGGAACAAGGACTTCTTGGAATATATTTTTCTTATCTTTTATTTTTGCACTTGTGATTTATATATATAATTTTTTCTTCGAATTTTGGAGTGGGACTATTATTATTATATTTTTTTGTATTTTATTTTTGTATATTGATTTAGTATATATTAATTATTTGCGCTGTTGGTGATGTTTTCATATTCTTTGGTGTATATTGCACTTATGTACAGCAGCATTTAATTTTAATTTTGTATACTTATTTTTTTGGCGCTGGTGATTTACGGTTACAGAGAAAGGATTTTGCCTTAATGCAGGCAATGCATTAAGGTAAAAAAACCTTTAGAGTTTTGAACCACATTTAGAAAGTAGATGCTGTCCCAGAATAATTTACTAAGACTGAGCCCTCCTTCTGATGAGAGAAACAAATGAAGACATATTGAAGACAAGACTGATGTGAATGTACTATATGTGAAGCGCTGCGTAAATTGACGGCACTATATAAGTACCTGTAATAAATAAATAAAAATAAATAATAAATAAATATTTGGAGGAATTAGAGTTAATACATATCTCCACATGGACCTAGCCTCAGAGATATATCTCTGAAGCTAGGTCAATTTTACTATGTGTAGCAGCTCAATTGAAATCCAATTTAAGCCGTAGTGGTACATACATGTTCATAGCATTAAACAAAAAGTGCTTTTCTAACTCGCTTAAATATATGGACTCTGGAAAAATAATAAAGATATTCAAACCTTCAGGATATAACTGGTTAATTTACTGCTGGTATGCACAATGGCATTGAATGTCATTTTTAATTGGGAAGCAGAAAATCTGTTAACAGACTAGAACACATTATGAGGTGTCAGAAGGTCATGTACTACATTTTTAACTGTCTTTAAGTTCATGAAATATGCTGCGGGGTTAATGTGACATAGCTTTTCAAGAGGTCAAGGAGCAAAGAGGATCTTCTTTTTTGAAATGTCTGACATTGCTGACCTTTTTCAGTAGTGAAAGCTTTCTACAAATGGCTTACAAACTATAATTCAACATTAAAACATAAATTCTAAAAACACAATGAACTACGCTCAATTTGAATTTCTTTCCAAAAAATTATCCAGTTGGAAAATATAATCTGTAAATTTACAGAAAACTTCAGGATTCAGAATAGTTTATGCCAAAATAGTAAAAGATTCAATCAAGACATTATAAAGCAATTTGTTGCAGAAATACAAAGCTACAATATTTCCCTCAACATGATGGTTTAATGTATGCTTACAGAATATTCCAGAAGAAATCTTTCTGGGGGTATGCATTTTTCCTGTTACACTTTAAACTATTTTTAAAGTTAAAAGTGAACTTCAGAAACATTCTAGTTATGCGCTTCTTAAAAACTGTTGAACTTTTTTGGATATAACTAGTAGATTGTAAATATTTTAAACCTGTCTTTTGCATTAGCTTTCTGTAATCCCCTATACAGCAACACTCAAGAATAACATTGAGAACTAGTATTCTGACCCATTCAGGGCTCTACTGAATTGCACAGTGCTGTCAGTCTAGCACTAGGAACATGATGACAGGAGGAGAGAATACCAGGATGACCATATTGATGTGCTCTTCCTCCTTCATCTTGCTAGCAGGTAATGGAAGAGAGAGGACTAAGCAAGCAGAAACGCAGCAGTCTTTTATTAGATACCCATTACATTAATATAAAATCATTATCATGATTTCAGGGAGAGAAGGTTCTCATTGAACTGTGCACATGGATGCTTTCAGCTTTAAAACATAGGTAGGGCATACATCTAAGGCAGAGAGATACTGAGATCCTGAGATCCGTATCTGCTGTAAAGCCGTATCAGCTGTTTTAATAACTTTAAAGCAAATGATGCATGGGAACAACAAAGCTACATCACTAACAGCCTAAAGTGTAAGCAGCCCCAGGCCAACAGGCACACTAGTGCTGCTGCATAGAGCATTGATGCATTTTTGTAGGCGGAAGAGACTGGTTGTTCAACACAAAACTCTGTCAAAATGCACCAAAAATGTACGTATATGTCTTTTTCATGCACTATCATACACTTCCATTTACATCTATGGGGCAAACAATGTACTATGCTGCACCAAAAGAAGCACCTCCACCACTATGTTGCATTGATGTGATGGGGCACCATAGAGAATGATGTGATTTCCATTGTCGTGCATTGCAGACCAACAGTAGACATAGGAAAATTTGCACTGATGTGGGCAGGGCCTAACAATAACTCCTCTCATTTCCTCCCTTTTCATCTGTTAACTCCTTCATGTCACCATCCCACTGCTTTTAAGTGAGCTTTGAGGCAGGGAGGTGGAGCAGCTTCCTGATCACGTGACCTCTGCGACTGGCTTTCACAGCAGGCACACGATCAAGAGTCTGTCCTTCTGGCTCCTGACCAGAATCCATGACAAAGCTGTCAGTGTACTGGGAATGTCCAGTAAGAAAGCTCTATTTGTCTAAGAAAAAATTCATCTGTGTACAGTGTTGCACGACTGTGTAGCTGTCAGTGAAACAATCACAGCACTGAAAGCTGAAAAATGGGGGCAGCACAGTGGCTAAATGGTTAACACTCTTGCTTGACAGCACTAGGGTCGTCGGTTCACTACCTGCCTGGAGTTTGCATGTTCTCCCTGTGCCTGTGTGGGTTTCCTCCCACACTTACAAATACATGGTGGTAGGTTAATTGGTTCTTGCCTAAATTGTCCCTAGTATGTGTATGTATAAATGTGAGTTAGGGACCTTAGAATGTAAGCTCGTTGAGGGCAGGGATGGATGTGAATGTGCAATATACATGTAAAGCTCTTCATAAATTGACGGAGCTATACAAGTACCTGTAATAAAAAAAAAATAAATAAAAGGTCTGGACAGATAGGGAAGGTAACATGCTGATCCTAAAGTGGTTGAAGTAGTTGCGCACATGCAATGTTAGACACTTTCTAATATAGTTATAGGTATTCTGGTGCCATAACTGCTTTTGTGCACTTCAAAATGATCTTTAACTTGTTTTGCAATATTAAAAGGTTCTGTCATGTGACCTTGTATCTCTTCTTCTTGATAGTGGGGGGTGGAGATAGAGGACACTGTGCAGTATTCCATAGTCTGTTCAGCCTGAGCTAAGATGCAGGCTGTGCTTGAGCAAAGGAGGTGTTCAAGAGGCAGGCAGTGATTGGGAAGGGGCTGGGGTGGCTGAACAACCTACTAAATCAGGGGTCTTCAACCAGTAGATCTCAGCCAGGTGACTGGTAGATTACAGTCTGGACTTGCTGACCCAGCATTAAACAGAGTGCAGTGCAGAAGAACTACCTGTAAAGTTGGGGCTGTTGTAGGGAGCAAGAGCTGCATAAGCCGATGCCTCCTCTGCAGTACTGGCTCCTGTCCCATGCAGACTGACACCAACTGTACTCCACCTCTTATCCCAGAAAGTGGGATGTGGGGGGGACTGCCACTCAGGGTTTTATCACCCCTCCTCTCCAAATTTACATATGCACAAGCCCTAAAGGTGCCGCTGAGGACTCATTCCTGGAGGACTCACTGCTGCTCCTCTGAAAAGCAATCCAAGTGTTTGACAGGTGGTCAGGAGGCAATATGTTGCCTCCTCACCACCTGATTTAAACCCATGACTGCCGTGCATTTGCAACATGTTAGCATGGCAATTAGAGGTTTAAATCAGGTGTGAGGAGGCGAAACTGGGAAACACTGTGCCCGGTGATCTTTGACTTCTCCCATGTTGTTCAGGTAGATCTAAACCTCTTTAAAGTGTTACTAACCCCACAACAGTAAAATCAGTCTGTATATGCAGTAAAGCATGCTTGTTATACTCACTGGGGAACCTAAGGGGTTAATCCTCAGCATTGTTTAAAAAGGCCATTTGATCCTGACTTCTCGGCTGCTCCTCTTATTCAAGTGTCCACGTCTTATCTTCTAATAAGACAGACTGAACCGTACCCATTCTGCACATGCTCAGTTTAGTGTGTATTGCTAGAGAGGTTTTTTTTCTTTCTTGAGTGAGTGCGTGTGATCAGTACAGGGTCAATCAGCACTGTCCAGACAGAAGTCAGGGGTCTTGCATCCTCCTAGAGCAGAAAGAAAACTCATCCTTCAAGCTTTAAGCAGTGCTCGGCTGGGCACAGATAGAAGTCACAAGACTGCTCTAACTGCTGATGAGAAAAGGTATTTAGCAAATTATATTTCCTAAAATAATTGTGCTTCCATGATCTGTGTACTGTGGGAGACCAGATATAGTGAATGCAGGGTCCTGGGTTTAGTAAAATTTTAAGGTTGCCTACCCCTGTACTAAATACAGGCATGCTGTGTGTCTGCACAGTGTCCTGTACCTGTGGATGGCCAGCCAAAGGATGCAAACCAATCGTGCTACTACAGATCAGCTTCTCTGCTTTGTGTAGTCAGTTTAGAACAAGGAAGAAAGGTGACTGGCAACATCAACCAGCTACTTCAGATGAAAGAAGTACATGAAAATCACAAAGACTATGATTTATAAAATACACATATGTGAACATACACATAGATAAAAAAAATATATTTAGGGTAACATACACTTTATATTGGGCAGCACAGTGGCTAAATGGTTAGCATTTCCGCCTAGCAGTACTAGGGTCGTTGGTTCAAATCCCAGCCTCGGCACCACCTGCCTGGAGTTTGCATGTTCTCCCAGTGCCTGTGTGGGTTTCCTCTGAGTACTCCAGTTTCCTCCCACACTCTAAAGACATGCTGGTAGGTTAATTGGATCCTGTCTAAATTGGCCCTAGTATGTGTATGTATGAATGTAAGTTAGGGACCTTAGATTGTACGCCCCTTGAGGGTTAGGGACTGATGTGAATGTACAATATATATGTAAAGCGCTGCGTAAATTGACGGCGCTATATAAGTACCTGTAATAAATAAATAATAAGGCATCCTCCAAACCTGTAGTTTAAAGGATTTGTGTTTCCCCATGTCACCTTGAAGCTACATAAAAAGGACCAGCTCCCTGCTATACAGTATGTTCAGAAAATGTGTTTGTCATTGGTGCATGCCCTCCAAGGCAGTGCCCAGCTTTTCAAGCCCTGTTTGACAACAGCATGCCTATCAGCCCTAGAAATTGGCAGAAGTTCCAAACAAAATGTATCGAACTCCGATAGATAGATCACTCATCGCTACGTGTCATTTCATATGCATGCAACCGAGTCGCACACCCTCTGCCTGACTTTTAGCTCACACCATCCCTTTCTCACATGTCCTTGCCACTGTACAGACAATTACAGGAGACTAATATCAAGAGAAATTCAGGCAGTCCCCAAATTACAAACACCCTACTTACATACGACTCATACTTAAGAACGGGGGGGGGCAGCGTGATGTTACGCTAATACTGAAAACTTCCGGGTGGCCATCTTGCTGCTCACCGCATGTTGCCACCTACTGTTCACCTAACTGCCAGTTAACCCTTCCCTATACTGTCCAAAATTTTAATTATTTTTTTTGACTGGAGTTACACTTAAAAAATTTACATGTTCTAACTTGCGTACAAAATCAACTTAAGAACAAACCCACAGAACCTATCTTGCTTGTAATCAGAGGACTGCCTGCACTATATATTAAAACACATTTTTATTATTGTTTTTGTGTGTGTGAAACCTATATAGAGAAAGAGATAAAATATGCAAGTTGCCACTGCTGATCTTTTCTGCTAAAGGAAAAGTATAGCAAAAGCTATGTTGGCTATGCCTCTACCATAGATCACAGGAGTGCAGTTCGTTCTGCACTCCTGTGACCCATTTTAGCCGACTATTGGCTGACGTCACTCAGCCGGTCCAGGCTCAGGAAAGATCCCGACTTTAAAGTACCTGGACCGGCAGCTCTCAGCAAGCCACTGAGAGCCTGACCAAGCCATTCCCAAACCCTCCACAGGCCAGCACTGCAGTGAGCGCTGGAGAAGCAGAGAAGACAGCCGATGACTGACAGTCATCAGCACTCTGCAGGCTGAAGACAGAGAACTGAGCAATCAGCAGTTTTTGATCACTCAGTTCTCAGTCTTAGAGGCAGTGGGGGACAGATGCAGCTGGGATCGGTGCTTCCACCATCTAGACAAATATGACTGTTTTGGGGGGGGGGGTTAGCCATACTTCTTTGAAAAAAGGCAAGATGCCTGGTATCCTGCTGGTGATTTGAAACACAATGTATGGTTAAATTTTACACCAGCCCAGAGTTTAGCTTAAAAACAGTGAGATATTATAGGACACAACGCTGTAATAAAAAGTATTCTAAAACCTTTCTAAAAGCATGTAAAACAACAACTTATACACAGACACAAAAAACTATACAAAACTGACAAGGATGTTTATTTGAATTTCTATACTGTGCAAATAAAAAGAATAACTGCATTTTATGTTACTGTACAAAAATATGTGCGTTGCAAAGCAGCCCATTAGTCAGCCTGGAAATGTGGGGAACAGATGTTAAAAAGCTCTAAACTGAGCAAAAGGAAAATAACACCATCTTTTCACTATATTATTATAATGCAATGCAGAGATGCAAGGTTGGTAATACATAGCACACTAAAGAGTTTAGCCTTCACTACTTACAGTGTCTCTACACAAGTATCCTATACACAAGAGAAACCCCAGTCAGTTACACAACACCAGTCAATGCCCACATATAAACAGATATGCTAAAAAGATGGTAAAAAAAGCTGTCGACTACAGTAACCAATCAAATGCTGGCTCTAGTTGCCTCAACAATTAGATATGAAATGTCACAGGTTTCTGTTGGCAACACCTCTGCTTTTTCCATTTCTGCAGTTTTATAGAATCCCCACAGTATTATCCCTATAAAAAACTGATATGGTCACAGGGATATAAAAATTTTAAAAAAGACAAATGCACTAATGTGCAGTATTCATTAAGAAGTAATAAACACTGAACGCCAAGCAAAAAAGCTAAACACAGATGATACAAACATATATGAGAGCTGTTTTATCTTCCAAAAGATATTTTACTTCTATCCATCCAGCCTTGAGCATTTTTACTTCTATCCATCCAGTCTTGAGATTTACACAGCAGTTGAATTTCTGCTGCAGTTTCACTTTCACATATAGACTTCCTCGCCACCACTAACCAGTAAATGGGCAATCAAAGGAAATTAAAATATTTACAGTAAGAAACTTCAGATTTTTATTTTAAGTCCTCAAGCACACTGGACGTTCTTACAGCTGCTGTTTCTGGTTTTGACGTTTTTTTCTACAGCCAGTAAACCCCCCAGCATGCTATCCTATGTGTTCATGCACACATAGACTGTAATCAATGTTTTTTGGCAGGGGCATTTTTAGGCTGGAAAAAAACCCAGGACTAGTGGGTTTCTAGAGGATTTTTTTAGCTGAAAAACGCTCAAACACGGCAAAATGTTAAAAAAGGCAAACATGCTGCATATTTGAAAAATCAGGTCCTTAGTAACGATTCAGTCAACACTTTTCTCAAATCATTTTCTAAATGCTATGCATATGGATCACAGACTGAACTGTAGAGAACATTCTGATCCACTTTTTCTTGCACTCTGCACTCTCGTTGGGTAGAAGATGTATACTGTTGTCACAACTGCCGATGACCATAAACATCAAATGTAACCTGTTCCCAATTTACTGTGCATTATCCATCTACTATAACAAACAGAACCATGGTTGTACAAAAGCCACACACCATGTATTGGGTGAATGGATCATGTTTATGTAGTTCATTAAACTAGATATAATGAAGTGTCTCAAGAATAATGCATGAAATGTAATATCTCTTTACATATACAGGAAACTATCTGACTTCCAGTTTAGATAGCATCCAGGTCAGTTATACCACTGCTCAGAGGTGTTCTGTGCTAGAATTTTTATTAACATGAGTATGGAACAGACACCATGTCTAGAGAAAGCTTCCTCCTTTACTATTCTCTGTGTGATAGCAGGATATTTTCTGACCACACAGAAGCAGCAAGAAACCTGTGAAGTTAAAAGGAAATTGTCATCAGTCCATAAGAGTAGAGCTGTTCTGGGTCACTGCTACTGTTTTGGGATTAGAATCCCCTGTGCAAATACTCATAATAAATTTATGGTAATCAGTAACTAACCCAGGGACTATATCACTGTTCAGAAGGGATTGAGCACTCTTACAGTCATCCTTTAAAAGTGTACTTAAAGCAGAATGTCACTCTCTCAATTAACATTGACTATTTTTAATCCTTATGCAGCTAGCATTATTATATAGTTAGGAAAGTATTTCATATTTACTTGTTTTATATTTTATCAGTTATTTTCTGTGATTAGTTACAGTACAAGCTAGTCAGCGGGTGACAGCCAATGATTGACTGCTGCCACCTGTTGATCGGCGAGGAGGAAGCTCGGGCAGAGTTCTGTCAATGTAGGCAATACAGAGCTCTGTCCTGTCTGTGGGGATGTGCCAGTTTTCGTCTCCCTGCTAAGCAGGGAATACAAAACGGCACATCTCTTAGTGAAAACACCTCACAATGTACACATAAGCACTGGTTAGGCACACATTCAACCCTTTGATCGCCCTAGATGTTTAACTCCTTCCTAGCCAGTGTCATTAGTACAGTGACAGTGTATATTTTTAGCACTGATCACTGTATTAGTGTCACTGGTTCCCAGAAAATGTCAAAAGTGACAGTTAGTATCAGATTGCCTACCATACCATTGCAGTCCCGATATAAGTCGCTGATCGCCGCCATTACTAGTAAAAAATAAAAATAAATACAAATTCTAGTATATATACACCTTAGTTTGTAGACACTATAACTTTCGTACAAACCAGTCAATATACACTTATTGGGATTTTTTTACCAAAAATATGTAGCAAAATATATATTGGCCTACATTTATGAAGAAATTTTTTTTTTTTTTTTAATTTTCATTGATTTTGAGTTTTAGAAAGCAAAAAAAACATATATATTTTTTTATTTTCATTTATAGCGCGAAAAAAAAAAAAAAAAAAAGGAAAGCTCTATATGTGTGCAAAAATTATATAAATTTCATTTGTGTACAGTGTTGCATGACTGCGCAATTGTCAGTTAAAGTAACACAGTGACAAAAAGCAAAAAATGGTAGCATCATGCTGTGGAAGTGTTTTTCAGCAGCATGGACTAGACGACTGGTCATGGTTGAGACAAAGCTGAATGGAGCAAAGTACAAATGTATCCTCAATGAAAACCTATTCCACAGTGCTCAGGACCTCAGACTGGAGTGAAGATTCACCTTCA